AACCACATGACTTATAAAAACACACATTAACGGATCAGAAATGCATGATGAAACTGCCTGTGAACATGCCAAAAAAACACACATGGACAGATGTGAACCTAACTCACCGAATTGGATCCAGGAAAGTCATAACCTCCCATCACCTTCATGTAGGCTTTTTCAATTAAAGACACCCACAATTCATTCTTGTTGTTAGAATATGAGCACAGCAACTCTCCATTATGATCCACAGGAAGAAAATCGTCTATTATAACCTGTAAAGATAAATTGTGTTAGAAGTCCTAGCCTGTAATAATAATAAGTGCAGGTTTGGGCCATTTGTTTTTTGCCTCTACACGTGGCATCTTTTTCACCCCGGGTGCATGATGCCTAAGGAGGCAGGAGAAAAGTAAACTCATTAGAACCTTAGCAGGACTAAGCCAGTGGAAGATAGAAAATCAAGATAACACTTCTGGTTTGCGATAAAAATGTACAGGCTCCAAAAAAATCATAATTTGTATATAGTTACTTTTAAAAGTGCACAATGAAAACATGAGGACATTACCAATAATTCTTCTCAATACTTTATACAGAAATAGGTCAATCACTTACCTTTCTAGGCACACCATTGATGTGCAGTTTCACCATATATTTCCCACATGGGTTATACTCCGGCTCTCCTTTCTTATTTTGTGGAAAGATTATGCTGTGATAGAAAATAAAAATCAATATGAGTTTGCAGCCACAATATGCCGATTGCCTTCCCTTTGTCACTGATACTGTATATAAGCATCTTTAAAAATTAACAATTCCAATATTTTTCAAAGCTTTATATACTCTATACACATAATACAGAATTATTTTTATAGAATTACTTTCACTATATAAACTAGTAACACCGCTAATGTTCATGCAAACTTTTGAACGTGCTTTTGTTTTTGTGTCCAATTAGGGGATTTGCCATAACATAAAATGCTTGTACAATCCAAACTGGTTGAAATTGTGCAAACAATGCTGTATTGCTACAATAAATAATACAAATAATTCCATAATTGCAGAAATAGCAATTTCTTGGTGGCAACCTGCAGCAAATAGAATTAGGAAAATCTCAATTTGTCTCTACTTTGGTGTCCGTAGACATTAGATGATCATTATCCAGCCCTGATGATGGGCACTTTCAGAACTTGGCAATCCCTGGCTAACTGATATTTGATTTATCACCATGTCATATGGATATTACTGGGATAGAAGTACAACGACATCAAACACTGGGCCGCATTTGTGTGGTTATTATGTGACATAAATATCTTTCCGGCACACTAACAATTGATTAAAAACTGAAAAGGACAGATGCCGCATTGTAATTCAGAGTAAAATAATACAATCAGTCAGACTTCAAAAGATAAACAGCCAAGAAGGGTAAAATGCTGCAGAATAATAAAACATTCCTTTCCTGCTTCCTTCTTCTGATAACAATGAATTACATTCGGTTTAGGCTGTCATTAATTCTCTGTAAAACCTTTGGTGAAAAAACAGGAGAGATGTCCTTATAAGTTGGCGGGATCTTTCTACAGAATAGCCATCACTGGATTATTTTCATAAAGGGTGAAACGATGTGAAAAGGAGTAGAGAAGTATTGTCAATTAAAAATCTTGTTACTGATATCTTTAAAGAAAACAAAAAGAAAATCTCTTTGCGTTCACTGACCATTGACCAATTTTTGTCTCTTAAAACTTTCTTCCAATGGTAACTGTGTTGCACACCAATGTAGAGTTATATGCTCTACTTATAGTAGGAGTGAGAGTCTGCAGGCTGAACAACAACAACAAAAATCTAGCAGATTGTATTCTGGCAGAGGTGGACTGTAGCAGTCAGAATGGCTTAACAGTGACTGCAGCCAATTTTCCTCCCCGACTCCAATTATCAGATCAAAAGATGTCAGGCAGTAGGGTGCCAACAGGGCCACCCATGAAGCACATTTTGCTCCATGTATGGCCAGCCTAAGAAAACGGACTCTTCCCCCTACAGGTATACCTATTGTTAAATTGGGATACATTGGGATAACACCTAATTTATATTTGTCACATGTTCCCATTCACATAGCATGAGTTTCAAATATTTTAAAATTTGCTGCGTATATTTTTACCGTATTTTGCGGTCCATAAGACGCACCGGACCATAGGATGCAGGGAGGTCCGGCGCGCCTTATGGAGCACTCGACAGACTGTAGCTTCTGTCACAGCTTCTATTACAGAAGCTGTGACAGAAGCTGCAGTTAGTGACCGCTGAGACCGGTGGCGCTGTGATTACAGCGCCACGGTCTCAGTGATCACACAGAGCAGATGAAGAACGTCCGTTCTTCGTCTGCTCTATGGTGATCTCGATCGTCGCCGCTGCTCTGTTTTAATACGAGTGATCTCATTAGATCACTCGTATTAAACGAGCAGTAGCTCCTATTGCTGAACTCGATCGCCGCCGCTGCTCGGCTTTAATACAAGTGATCTCATTGGATCACTCGTATTAAACGAGCAGTGGCTCCTACTACTCGCCCGGCGCCCGAAACTGCATGTCTCGGGCGTCGGGATTCGCTCCATAAGACGCAGGCACATTTCCCCCTCCTTTTGGGGGGAAAAAAGTGTGTCTTATGGAGCGAAAAAAACGGTAAGCGCTTTTTATTTGCTTCAAAATCCTACCTAGCTTTCCCTCTATGTAATGTTAAGGAGGGCTTGTGTGAAGTTATGATTACTCTAATTAGCCCTGTCTGTACTGTGCTGGCAGATCTCATTATCTGACTTAGAAGCATTGCATTTTAATGAGAGGAAGCTCAGTCTGTCCTTCTACTTTCATTTTCAAACTACTCAGAGAAGCCTGAACTATGCACAAAGGCCTTCACCAAAGAAACTTCTAAAATGTAAGAAATGTCTTTTTAAAAGTATTTTTCATCATTCTGTGTGAATAGGAACACATAACAATCATATATAGTGGGGTTTTCTCAAATTGGACTGCAAAGGTGGCTCAGTTTGTATTAGGACAGTAACAAAAATAAAGGAAAAGGAAACGTGGACAAATTAACTAGGACAAGAATGTTAGGAATTCAAAGGGAAAGGGTATAAAACGATAACAGACCGATAAAGGATAAAAGGGCTCAGTAAGTGTTGAGACACACAAAAAATTGTCCTTGCCCCATATACACGATTCGTATGAAATGCAATGACTTCATGTAACCTGTCCCTAATATCGGAGGTGATACAGTTACATAAACTAATCAAAAGCAGCACTGAACTGGCCTGTTCTTCTATATGACACAGAGGCTGGACTGTACTTCATGGGAGTATTTACAAAGAACTGTAATTGCACACGCGTTGCCACGAATGTTAGCTCAGTGTAACGTAATGGATGTTAAATGCATCAGTGTGCATCCGTGCCAATCACTATTCGCAAAACAGCATAAGCTAATCAACTAGCATCCATTGTGGTGCACTACAATACAAAAACTGCAGCAGATATGATTTTAGGACCGTTCTGGTGGCTCAAATGAATGGGCTGCCTTAATGTAATGTACATCTAAGCACCGCGACTGATCGCCCTGGCGTAAAAGAGTCCTTAAAGATTAAAAGTGTACCAGAAATAGTAGATCAGGGTAGATCAGAGGCTTGGGCTCCGCTCCTCCTACCAGGGCAAAGTAACAACTGACATCCTGTTAGATATTAAGATATACCCAGGAGGGAAAGAGTCAACTTTTTATCCTCCATTTACGCAGAGCATAAACCTTATGGTGCTGTAATGCCCAATGTGAGGGGAAAAAAATATTGATTGTACACTCGTACAAATAGATTTCTATAGCTCATATGTTTGTACAATTTACCTCAAACTCTCATGATGCAATAATACATACCTTGTTATGAGCTTCTTGTTATACCGTCTCTCATAAGCAGCGCTGATGGCAAGGGAGGCCACAAAGGAGCAATCTGACACTATGGTCTGGTGACAACAACAAAAAAAAAAGATACACGTTGCTTACTAAAAGAATCTACAATTGTGATGCTTCTTGCAGCAGTTATTACTCATCTCACATCCAACAAAACTCATCTTCATTTTCAAAGTAAGCTGATCTGATCACAAAGTAAGACATGAACTATTAAAAGCTGTATTTTTGTTCTAACAATGATACAGAAGAATTTAAAACCTATCTCTATGTAACAAAAAAAACAACACAACAAACTACCCTCGGGGTAAAACAAAAATGTACCCTTGTAGTGGGGGGCTACCTCCTCACTGCAAGGGTTAACTAGTAGTTTTTTTGTCTAGGGTTATGGTGTAAAGCAGTTTTACCTCCCTGATCTCCACTCCCCCAGTGTTTACATTTGTCCCCTCCATCTCGTGGACTGACACTTTTGGCCCTCATATATAATACAGGGCTATGGATCCTGCGTTAGATGTGATGACGTCAGTGGGCCACCATCCACCGAAGCAGAGGTGCGGTAAAAGGCTGCCGGCACCAGTCTTGGACCCAGTGGGAGCAGGGTTCAGGTAAGTAAAAGTGCTTTACACAATCCCCATAGACAAAATGAGCAGTTAACCCTTGCAGTGCGGGGGTAGTTTTTGTTTTTTTTAATGGAGATAGGCTTTAAGGATTCAGCCATTGATGCACCAAAACTTTGCCCCGAAACTTTACTTGGTACCAAATGAAAAAAAATGATGGCAATCGATTCTAAAACCTGTGACCAGATTTACGTTGTTAAGAAACAATTATTCTATTTGCTCCCTTTGCTGGTGAACCATTGGTAATAAACTGAAAGTTATAAATGCTTTTGCCGTAACCATAGCTGTGCATATGACACATGATGTGATGATGCCTCATTATCGAGGCTACGGGTTAGGGGTAAGTGTTAGGGTATAGAAGTTAGGGTTAGAGGTAAAGTCATAATATTCCACTCACTACCCAGCCAGGAAAGAGCACCGGAAGCAGAAAGATGACTACATTACCACCTGCAATGCATAGGAAAAACAAGCAGGCATTCATTTAAAACAGACATTGCTGTGTTCTTTATTAAATACTTTGCAGAAGAATTATGCTTTGCAAACTATCCCAGCCAAACATTGCCCTTTGCCATTGAAGCCAGCATGCCCAAAGATTAAAAGGAACAGTCTGTGTATTTTAGGATAAACCAGTTTTGGGTTCAGTGCAAAGATCAGAACTATATTCTGCTTAGTTTTACTACAAGTACATCTTCTGTCTATGGTTTGTCAATGTTTCTGTTTCTAGATACATTGTTAAAAAGCACTGATCGTCTTGAGCGTAGATTGGGAAGATTAAGTGACTCAAAGTAATTCCCAAATACTGGCTATATTTTTGGTATATACTCTATTTAAATATATGTGAATGGAAGTTAAAGACATCAAACAGAAGGTTCAACACAGAGGACCCTTTATTTTCTGTGTCATTTGTTTACAGCACTGGTATCTTTAATTGAAACATTTCTGGATACAGGTATATGTTATTTGTTGCTCTTCATTCATTTTATTATTGAAACAACATCGGATATTAGTTTCTTTATAAAAACACAAGTTTTAGATGATTTAGGAATCTCTGCCAGTCAGGAGTTGCTATATGGTGCTGGTGTACAATTAGTTCTGCTTTCCATTCTGTTCTCTTCTAAGTTCATCCCTCATTGGTGAGCTCAGAGATCTCTCCATCATGGTAGAACTTTTCTAGTTTTATTTTGGGGATTTAGGAGTATCCCTTTTTCTTACTTAGCATAATGTAGTTGCCACCTTCATAGTATTATTCAATTTCTAGGTTCTTTAACTCCATACATAAGCGCTTTTCATATTAAATGTCTGCTTGCTTTGTTAATTACTGCTAATTACTGAGTCCCAGACTCCCACAAGACCAGTTTCAAGGGGTGTCAATCACAACTGCTGTGCACACAACTTCAAAAGAGCCAGTTTCATCTGGATAGAAAAAAAGTTACTGCAGAGCCTGCATCCTCTGCACACTTAATCCTAGGAACAGAAGCTAACAGTGTACTGTGAGTTGCTGTGTTGGTCTCTGTATAAATTCAGTGTTGTTTCTAAATGAGATGAACTGACTGGCTTTGTTCCTTATTATATTAGTTAATAATGTGTGCTGTATTATCCAATTATACAGGGGTAGTAAAGAGTATTGCAGGGGAGCTCAGACCAGTGTCTTATGATGTGCAGTGTGATCTGGACTGCAAACGCATGTAACGGACAACTTCTGGTTTACCGGCTTTTACTGTTCACATTTAGGTTAATCTGTGTTCCCCGTTCATTCGATGTGGGAACACAAAGCGCAATTACATGTGACAATGTTATTTCTTAATGGCACCCCAATAAACCTAGCCATTGCACATGCATTGCATCGAACTGCATTAACTGTGGTGTTACAGAAATTTTAAAAATGGTCACGCACTTCTTTGGTGCAGTTTAAATGAATGGGCTACCCTACTGCAACGCATGGGAATGCCTGTAAAATCCCACAGCAACACATATGCTATGCCACATCACACAGATGTCAGCCAAGGCTTAGATAGGCATGATGCCTACTTAAAGTGACATTAAAGTCTAGCCCCCCTCCCCCCATTCTGCTGTAGGGACTGCAAGTGATGCCTCTTGACCTGATCATTCTCTTCCTTCCAGTTACATGTTATATACAGAGTAGATAAGGTTGAGAAAAATACACAGGTCCATCAAGCTCAACCTATGTGTAAGTGTGAGTTTATGTGTTTGATCCAGATGAAGGCAAAAAAGATACACAAGATAAAAGATGGCAAGTTTATGTTTAAGAACAAGCAAATATGATGCATTACCTGCTTAATGCTGAAACTTGACACAGTATAGATCATTGTGGGGTTGTTGGTTATTTCGTCTGGTCTCATCCACCTGGAAAACATGGCTTTCTGTTTGGGGGATAGTGCCAACTTGCCATACTTGTCCCTGAAGAACAGAATATATTCAGTGCTTTTCTCCACCTTGTTAAGTTGCAATCATAAAAGCAAATAAAATTTTCTTGCAGAATAACCATGCATCTATGTTTATGTGGCTTGAACCTGTAGGCATCATAAAGAAACTTCATGGTTTTCCTAGGCAAGTTGAGAGTTACAATAAAACCAGAGGAGTTTGTCCTGGTATATGTTTTTCATGTCTTGTAATAGTCTAGTCATTGATGGAAATAGCCTTTTACAACTATGGGCTGCATTATAAGTGTAGTGAGTACCTAATGATATCTGGACTGGATGGTTTGTACTTTATATGTATGTGTGTATAATGTTTTTCAAATATCAATAAAAATTGAATATAAAAAAAAAAAACCAAAAAACCAGAGGAGTTTGGATCTGCACTGGGCCTCCTCCAAGTTGGTTGAAGTTGTACAGCTCTCAATGAAAATGCCCATTGAAAATACATACAAAATCCCCAACCACCTCAAATGGCATCTTTCAATGCAGCAGCTCTACCCCAGAGTGACAGCTACAGTTACGAATCTTTACCGTGACCATTTACCATTATTAGTCACTAGCAAAAATATCCTACAGGCATTTCACTAGTCATTCTGTTACCCTATAAGATATACTTACGAGTATGGCATGGGAAAGGCAAAACGTTCCTTCAGGTCGACACTCATGAATGGAACATACTCAATGCCGTTGATTTTTGAGGTCTTCCTGCAGACAGAAAGAAAAATGTCAATGTGGAAAGAAAGTGAATATGTAAACTGCCCAATAATTACCACCAATGCAAGTGATTCCAGTACTCGTGAAGTGTATGCGTTAACGCCTGAATGATAATGAGCATCTGTGAGTTTTGGATGATCATTATTGAATGCAGAAATTTCCAAAAATAAAAAGTAAATCTCAATTTGGTAAAGAAAAAAATAAAGCTATGTTCTCCAGCACAGATCAATACATTAAAAGGGTTTTAACAAACTGTATTGAAGGACCTTACCTGGCTCTGTACTCTAGATCAGTTTCTCTCAAGTTCTCAATCAGAGTGTAATGGCACCCTGTGGATTATCAGGAGTGCCTTCAGGTTGTGCTTAAGAGGAGGGACTCTGATGTGAAGCAGGGCTTCTAATGTATAAGGGGGGGGTGGGGGTTCTGATGTGATGTGAAAGGAGGGCTCCCTGCAAACCACCCCCTGTCTTTATTCTTGCCAAGGCTAGAATGATGTGTCCTGCTCCTGCAGTCTTCTTGGATATCCACATCACATACCGCAGGAGGCTGCAGGAGCAGGGGACACACATCGCCTGGAGGGCAGACCTGGCAGCGCATCACTGGGGCAAGCGGCATGAACCCCAAAGAGAAAGCCGGCTCCCAATGACGTAGAAAGAGTAGATGGCGGCACAGGACCTGGCCTGTGGCAGCAGAGCAGCAAGACAATGCTGGATTTGCCAGGTGAGTATATTTTCTGAAAAACACCCTGCATAACAGTAGGGAGGGGATAAAAAAAAGCAGGTGGGGGGTGAAGTCCCTTTTTGACAAGGCAATGAGATTGTACCTAAGCACTTCGATCTCCTCTGATGTGTATCTCTGGCGAGGTGGCTCATTACTCTGGGCAGGTTTGGCAGTTGGTGGTTTATCATTTAAACTGAAGTCTGGACCCAGAGGAAAGTATTGTCTTGCTGGTTGGCTTGGCTTGAGGACAGATATCTTGTCTTTGGCAGAAGACTTGGACGTAGATTCCTTTAAAGATTCCGCCCTAATACACAAGAAAGCAATACAGTACATGTGTAAACAAAACTAATAATGCACTGTCATTTGTTAAAATAAAAGACAGATATATCAGCCAGCATGACACTGCAATTCAATGCAAATGCAGTTTTGTTATTAACACACCCAGCTAGTTTAAGCAAATCCAAAAATATTTAAAGGCTACTCTGTAATTCCAAAAAGCTGTGAACTAGGAAAAGATAGAGGCTCTTCTGGTGTACTATGGTCCAAGATCAAAGTGACAGTGGTGCAATTTAATTGTTACTGTATGAATATGCTTTAAAACAAGCAACTACAAGTTGAAGGCATTGGCAAAGGTTAGCGGCTAACCTACAACAAAAATGGCTCAAATCCCATTAGGCTGCAACTTAAGCTTTGGCTAAGCAAGATCAAAAATCATATAAATGCAAGAAGGGAAAAAAAGAGTATTTCAAGTGACAGCTAAATTATCCAGAATCAGGACTGTGTACAGTTTATGCTTTTATAATAAAAGAAAATATGACATTTTCAGTTACAGAGGGTAAGAGTGTCATGAACATTATTTTATTACCCTCAACACATTTCCCGGCTCCAAGACTGTCCTCCAGCAGCACAATTATCCTTCTGCTATTAGACTTGCATTGAGTGAAGCAGTCTCCTGCTAATAGGAGACCTATGCAAGCAGATTCTCAGGTTCGAACCTCCGTCAGGTTTGTATTGCCGTTTGCTTTGCCAGTTGAGAGATTTCTCCTGCCTATATGGATAGGAGGTGAAGAGTAATCTTCCCAACAGCAATACAAACAACTGGGGCTGAAACTAACGATTTATTTTCATGAACGATTAGTTGGACAATTATTTTTATTTTTTTTAAAAACATATTTTATTTAAAATAAAATATACAAATGGAGTGTAAACATAACATCACGTTTACTAAAGAATAAAACTGATTGCACAATTTTTTGCAATCGTACAGCACAGCATTGCAGTACCACCTGTTCCAGTGCATGCGATCGCACTGCAGGTGGGAGGCATGTTTAGAGTGCCACTGAACAACAAAAAGAATACCATGGGTCTTTTTAGGTGTCACATCCGGATTAAATGGACAAAGTCAGATGCAACATGCCACATCGATTATAGAATTAATTTAGCAAAATATTTATTAAAATTACATGATTATTAGGAACATATATAAAATCAAGCTAAGAACATAGTCCAGAAACAATCCTATTACAAGGCATAGCGCCCCCCTGGATCACACATGCACATTTCATCTAGTCTATTTAGCAAAATGCTTATCTTTTAACAATATCTATAAATGATTTTTGTTGGGGTGCCATTGAAATGAATGGCACCGCAATGCACCTCCTGCAGCAAAATTTGTCAGGCAAAAACAAAAATGACTTTTTTTAACCACCTTTTTTAGTTTAATTTTATAATAGGAAAGTGCGGCTTTATTTCTTTAATGGTTTTTTTTTTTTAATCATTTTATTTTTATTTATTTTTACTTTACTGTTGGGGGCTTTGGGGAAATATCAGGGGTCTAAACAGACGCCTGACATTTCCCTTTTGAAATAAAAAAAAACCAGACAGACACAGAGTCCTCAATCTCTTTATCTGCAGCCCCAGCATTCCATGAACAAGAAGCACTCAGTACAGAGGCTTCCTGGTCATTCATATATCGAGGAGATAGTAAACAGATACTGTCCTCAGTTATTTACAAACATCGTAGTGATCAGTACTGATCCCTCAGTGTTTGTTCTTTACAGGGAAGGATTGGTAAAATTTCACATATTTAGCGATCCTCCTCTCTCCATCCTGAGCCGCTCTGCCCCCTCCAAGTTTTCCATCCTCTCTCCTCCCTTCTGTCACAGCCGATGATCTCTCCTCCCTGCTGGCACCGGCTGCAGCGGTCTGTGTCCCCATCGGTCCCCGCTGCCTCTGCCAATACAGACATGGGAGAACAGCGGGGATTGGAGGGGACACAGACCGAAGCATGCAGCGGGCTCCCAGCGGGGAGAAGAGAGCTACAGAGCGGCAGGAGCAGACGGCGGGGGAGGGTGGGGTGTAATGGCGTTTTGGGGGAGTTCTCCTCACTACTGCACACCAGCTGCAGGTCTGTGTCCCCTCCGATTCCTGAGACATCTGAGTGCAGATGAACTAAATCGATAATGAGAATAGTCGACAGTTCTCATCATTGATTTAAATCGCCAAAATCAATTTGTTGTTTTCAGCCATACAAACAACAATAAGAACCTTGCTTCAATGCTTACACTTCTCCACAATACACTACACAAAACTGGATTCCATTCCATCTGCTACCTGCACTTTTTTTTTTGCTTTTTAGATTCTTTTTTTATCAGAACTGGAAAATGCAGCCATCAGAGAAAACTATTTCAGACTTAATCCATAAGGCAATCAGAATTCTTCTATCAGTCATCTGGCATTAATAAAACAAAATCAGTTTGCCAGTTTTTGGGACAAATACTTAAAGAGACCCTTTAGCATGACCAGGATTTCATCACAAAGCTTTTCATATGATTATATTTAACATATTTTATGCCTGGTATTTACCCATTTATTCCTCCCTTGTGTGGGCATCCAAAAGCCCTGAGACTTGTGTATGTCAGCGACCCCTGTAGACTCACAGCTGTAACTCCAGTGGCATACCATAGTATTCCCCTTCTCTCCTTCCCCAGCTTCTACATAAAAAAGTTATATAGGAAGAAGAAAGGAAGAGTGGAGAAGCTGGGCCAGCACAGACAGTAATTAAACACTCCCAGAAGAGGAGAAGGTAACTGACTCTGCTGGTTTAGTCAAATTTTCAATCATGTTTAAAGGCACATTGGAAGTGACTAAAAACAATTAATGGAAAGGAAAAATACTGCAAGTAAGAATTTAAAACACCTGATTTTTCTGTACTTCACCTGCATTTTTCTAAGTTGGTGACAGGGTCTCTTTAAGCCTCATTCCTGACAGAATAGTGTACGTTCGAGCAGAGATGTTGAGCAGCTCATAACAAATTCGAGCAGTGAGTAGTCCTATAAAATCGTCAACTGAGCCATGACTGCATCCAATCAGATGCGGTCACTGTTCGGGTATTCAGACAGCCAGGAATACTCGCTGTCTGAATAGAACATCTGGCAAGAAGGAGTCCTCCGTCCATACTGTTTGGTTATGCAATGGGAATGTGAACATGTAACAAATATAAAATAGGCTTTTTCCCAAATTGGTTGCAAAAGTGGAAATCCACTTTAGGTAAACCAGTCACCTATAGCAACATAAGAGTGCAGCTGATGTACCTGGTTGCAGCAACTGCTGACCTTTTGTTAACAATCTGCAACAGAGAGATGGATTTTGCTGACGCATACAGGAAATAGTGTACTCACCTGTCTAAGGCTTGCCGAGCCAGCTGCTTCAGTTTGGTTTGTAGGTTTTGATCTGTAGTTTCATTAGACTAAAAAAACAAAAATACATTGAGTCAGAGTATTTCCTGCATTGTGCAACCTTTAAAAGGTCAAATGACAGAGGGAATAAAGTATTATTACATCAAGACCATGAAGTGACTAGTGTATTGTGTACAGTTTGTTTCATTCATTTCAAAGCATTTTTCTTTCTTATATAGTTCTATGGCACGAGTTCAGGAAAAGCATAGTGTATTGTCAGTGAGCACATATTGATTATTATTGTAAGCATGAATGTATCCAGTCAGCGCTATATTAATATCTTTAGAGTGTAGGAAGAAGCTGGAGTGGCCGGAGGAAATCCACACAAGCACAGGGTGAATATGGACACTCCATGCAGATAATGTCCTGGCCAGTTTTCAAACTGGGGACCCCACTAACCTCTAAGCCACTGTGCTGCATTGTTTATCTTAAAGCAAACCTGTGCTAGGCCTTTTTAGGGCACAGCAACAGGTTCACTTTTTACAGGTATTTATATAGCGCTGACAATGTACGCAGTGCCTTACCTTCTGCACATTCACATCATTCCCTGCCCTTAAAGAGCTTACAGTCTAAGGTCACTATCTCACATGCATACAGGGCCAATTTAGACAGGAGCCAATTAACCTTCCAGCATGTCTTTGAAGACACTTTAATGTGTCCCCCCGCCTTCCCCAGCAGTACATACTCACCTTTCCTTTACTGTCCTACTGCTTCATTCATTCTATGGAAGTGAAGGAAATACCCCATACTTCCAAGAATGAAGAAACGTGATGCCTTCCGTGTGACAGCTCTGGTACATGACGGAAAGCCAAGTGCTGCCACATAGGTTAGGAGTGTTCGGCTTTATAGAAGCTGTCTTTCTTTAGATGACATAAGTATTGTACAACTTGAACATCAAGTAAATACAAATACATTGCCTGGCCAGAAAAAAAAAAAAAAATCACACACTCTAATATTTCGTTGGACGGCCTTTAGCTTTGATCATGGCATACATTCACCGTGGCATTGTTTCAATAAACGTATGCAATGTGACAAAATTTATTTCCGTCCAGAGTTGCATTCATTTTTCACCAAGATCTTGTAGTGATGATGGGAGAGTCGGAGAATTGTGTAAAGTCTTATCAAGCACATTGCAAAGATTCTGAATAGGATTAATGCCTGGACCCTGTGGTGGCCAATCCATGTGTGAAATGATGTCTCATGCTCCCTGAACCACTCTTTCACAATCTGAGCCCAATGAATCCTGGCATTGTCATCGTAGAATATGCCCAATGTGCCATCGAGGAAGAAAAAATCCATTGATGGAAAAACCTAGTCATTTAGTATATTCAGGTCGGCAGCTGACCTCAATTTAATGGCACACAACATTGCAGAACCTAGACCTGACCAACTGAAGCAAGCCAGATCATAACACTTATCCAATGGAAGGCTCTTACTTTGTGTAATAAGCAGTTAAAGAATTAGAAAAGCACATGAAAAGCATGAGAAGGCCAATGTAGGAGCCAGACGGAACAAGAAAAATAGACTAACTATCGGTTTGTATTGTGGTGTAGGCCTGCTTGTATACACACTTTACATGACCAGTTTCCAAGATTATCTGTTTGGTGAGAGATCACTGGCCACATTTCCTTCATTTCTTGAGTATGATTCATCCTACAAACAGTGCAAATAATTACCCTAAAATATCTACTCTTTTACTAACAGGTATAAAATGTAAAGCTCCAGCCACACAGAGACTAGGAATGGATGGTATTATATGAGAAATGAGCCACCTGCAGGGTTCCAGAGCTTAAAAGAACTCCAATCAGCATAGCAATCACCAGTCATCTTATAATTGCAGGTAGGGCACATTTTTATTTTCTCCTTAAAATGTGCAACCCAGGCAGCCACAGCTAAACCTTTACATGCTACTACAGTAAACTCCCAGTTATCTGACACCCACGGGGAAGGGTAGGTGCCGGATAACTGTAGTTTCTGGCTGCTTGAGAGTTAATAAAAAGTTATTTCTCAGGTCTGCTCCTCTGCTCAGTGGGCGGGTACAATAGATAGCCTGCTATCGCAATTTGAAATAGCCAATAGCAGGCTTTCTATTGCAGCCCAAAGTTTACATTCTGCTGCCGACTGCAGAATCTAGCCGCCAGCCGGCAGCAAGATGTAAACAAAGAATTTTGTTAGCAACTAAATACATTTAGTTGCTACCAACATTTTTTTAATGTGCACCAAGCAACTGACACTTTTTTAGTGTGCATCAAGTCACCGGCAAAAAGAATTAAGGACATATTATGTCCTTGATTTTTTTGCCTGTTGCTGGTTGCTTGAATGCCGGATAATGGGCAGTTTACTGTATTTTTTTCCATTTTGCAGCTGTTTTTCTTTAATCCTCTACATGTGAATGAAAGAGACAGTTGCTCACTAAACTGTGTCAATTAGCATAGGCAAAGATGGGGTACTTTTCACACCAGCATTTTTTTTCTAACATGGCCTGTAAAGCCACTGTGTATCACCAGCTTAAGGCCCCTTTCATACGGGCTCATCAGGAGACAATCCTTGCATGGATGCTCTCTTGATCACAGCATTACGGGGCAGATGTAATGTTGTGACATTTACACAGTTTTTTCTTCCATCTTGCGATGGAGGAAAAAACTGCAATTACCGGACCCCTTGCCTTTGCCCGTGCCACATGTGTCCATTTACATCAGATTACCCCCGCTCTTGCACAACCCGGCACGATCAGGTCCGGAGAAACAGAACACTGTTCCGTTCTTTTTTTCCGGACCTGGCCAAAAGCTGGGGTAACTGGATGTAAACGGACGCTCGTCCATTTGCACACGGCTGCCCACAGACCTGCATTGGGCATACGGGCATATCAGGTCAGCCTGAAAAATGACAGGTGGACCTAATCGGCCCAGCCGTGTGAAAGGGGCCTAAAGGATTATATGATCTAAAGTGGTGTGCACACAGAATTCTAACCTGAGCTCCTGGAGGAACATTATTGGTGGTAAAATTTATTTATGCAGATTTAATTAATACAGAATGCTATTTGTCCCATTTTGGAATTTAATTTCATAGTCTGTAATAGTTTATAGTCTCTGCTAGTAACTTTTGAAATAAGGTAAGTGGACACCATAAACAATTTGCTGAGCCATTCACCCTGTGAATCTTGGTGAACATTTATTTGTTAAGTATATTTTCTTTCAGGTCGCATGTAATAATGCATTGTGGCCACTAGATGGAACTTAGGAGCATAAAAAATAAGTATATGATTCCTAGGCTCCTGCAGTCCATCCTGTGGCCATAATGTGGTATCACATTACATTCAACCTGAAAAGAAAATATACTACAAATCTCTTGTTTTTGCCTCTATTTGCAGAGAACAAATGTTCACAGAGGTTCACAGGACGAATGGCTCTGTAAATTGTTTACAAGCAGGTCCCTATAACTACTTGAAAATGAACTGGAGTTCATCATTACACATTACTGCAAGTGAAATATATTTGTTAATACATTTTGTATTTTGTCTAGAGCTAAGAAGTGTAATATTCAGGGCGGATATGACCCATAGCCAGCCTTATCAGAAAATAAACTTTTATTCTTATCCAAAAACAGTCAAATAAAAATGGCTTATATTCAGCACATACCAAATTCGCCTCAGCGCCTGTATGCTAAGTCACACCTCAGGGTTAGAGTCCCAGCCTCCAAGTTAGGGTATGGACACAAATTCCCAGCAGCGTCCCGGTAGACTGTATTCCACAGCTTAACATGCATAGCCATGTCCTGCTCCAAACACTCCCCACAGTCACCGACTGACTGGCTTCCTGTTCTGTTTTAACACACCCTCTGGCTGGTGGGTTAACCCTTTCGTTACCAGAACTGGCTATAGTCAGGGATGGAGGCTCTATCCCACCCTGAGCCTACGGATTCCAGGACCCATGTATATTTATTTAGCAACTCCGGGATGCCTGCCTAGCAGTTTCCCTTACAAGTCCGACCCGGAACCCCTCACCCTCTTTTGCGAGAACCCTGAATACCAGGCGACCTTAACGGGACCACCACCTAAACAAGGGAGGGATATATCGTCCCTCCAGGACCCATTCCTGGCGTCCTGTACAGAAGATCAGGTTCTGGTTGGTTTGACTGGTTGCTAAATGTGAGGGGTGGCATAACAGACCAATATCTAAGTTTACGAGGTGAGCCCTGGTCATAGAACAACCTGGGTTTCAGGGCTCCTCAGGATGCAACTGTAAGCTGGGTACAGGCACCTGTAGGTGCACGCTGTTAAGCCCAAATTGTAGTCTTTTAATGTATCTAATGACAGATACACATCATAGGAATCTCATCTGGAATCTCAAGTCTCTATTTGCCAATGTTCCTACAATCCTGAATGAGTCTATACCCAATAGGAATTTTTGCATATATGATAGTAAATGGACCCTAAAAACAGACTGTGTACCTCAGCAGTCAACAATAATGAAGCTAAAAACAACAAAGTGCAGCAATTTTCTTCAGTATTGAAGCAAAAGTGCTAATTGTGCACACACCCTGCTAGGTTTTTGTCCTGGATCTTCCAAGCACTGTAATGTCACAATAAGTGGGGAATTCTTAAAGATTGACTTACTGTTGTCAAGCAAAGCTCTACTGCCTCTGAATACAGCTCAATGGCTTCTTCTGCATTTCCTTTGTCATCTTCTTCAAATGCCTGTGTGACAAGGAAGCGTGCTCGTTCCAGGTCCAGTTGCTGTTTAGATTTTAATGTTTCAATGTTCTGAGCTTGAACTAAAAAAAAATACAAAAAGGAAAAACATAGAATACTTGTATATAAGATGCACAATTTATATACCTCAATAATTATAATGAGAAAATGTTATTAAATATAAAAGAGAAATAACAAAAGTCCACCAGGATTTCCTAATGTCTATCATGAGAAAAACAGCCAAATTCAGTATGGAGAACAAATATCTACAATTCTCCATTTTGTTGGGGGCTTCACCGTGTGACATAACATGTAGAACATGTAAAGTGAAAATAATTATTCTAAGGTCTTACCGGTGCTAACGGGAGCATCTGCTTCGCTGACACTTGCCAAGCCCTCCCCAACACTCATGGGAAGGATAACTACACACCAACAAGATGGTTTTCTCACACTGAAAGCATTTTCCAAACATTACCTATGTGTACATTTTTATTTTTATTTATTTATTATTGGTATTTATATAGCGCTGGCAATTTACGCAGCACAATCTAGGGTTCCTATCTCACATGCACACATATGAGGGCCAATTTAGACAGGAGTCAATTTATCTACTAGCATGTCTTTGTAGTGTGGGAGGAAACAGGAGTACCTGTAGATAGTGACCTGGCCCGGGATTCAAAACAGGGACCCCCAAGCCCCAGAAAAGCATATGATCACGGACAGGAGCAAAGAAAAGAGGCAGAGTGCTAACTGATTAAGTACCGGGAAGAGTGAGCGAGAAAGGCAAGGCAGATAGTAGATAATCATGGAGTGGTGGAAGAGAGGAGGCAGTGGAACCTGATGGTGGACAGCAGATATAGGGGGGCGGAGCATGATCTGATCATGGACTATTTGGAGGATAGGTGAATTGGGTCTGTGCATGGTTGGGGGCACAGGTGGAAAGATGATTGTGGCTGATGGGGAGGAGAAAGATGGAAGCTGATCATGGAGAGGGGAGAGAAGAGCAGACCAGGAACTTATTGTTATGAGGTGTGGAAGGGAGAAAGTGGGAGAGGATGCAGAAGAGGTAATTGTCATGGACTAGAGGATGAAGAGAGAGGAGACAAAAAGATATCCAATTATGGACTGGATGTAAGGGTCACATATGAATTGCCGTTTCTACCTATTATTACCCACCTATTTTCTACCATTTTCTACCTATTTCCTGTTCAGGAACGGATCCATAGTTCATGACCTTTCTACTTTTATGAGAAGTTGTGGTCCAACTCCTACAAGTCGTGGAGCTTACAGGGAAGGGGAAGGGCTTAGTAAATGAAGGGCTCCTGCATACCAAATAAATGTCAGGTAGTATTTAATAGCTGCTTGACATTTTGCCTACAGCAGCCACGGGGCAATGGGCACAACAACATACCACAGACAGAATAGCATTGCGGAGAATGGGGAGTGCTGAATGTCAAAGGCAAAAAGGCACAAATGCAATCACAGGAACGTAGCCTACCTATAAAGCAAAGGGGATCAGGCAGTGTGTAGCATTGAATACAACAGACAATATTGTGGAGAGGGATTGGGATGGAGTGCTATATTAATAGGTACAGATATGGTTGGGATACAGTGCAAACTATCAGGGGGGACCTACAAAAGCAACAGTGGAGAGCGAGGGGAAAGCCACCATGGAATGTAGTTTACATGATGGAAGGAAAGCTGTCAGAGGATGTATCACTTGTATTTTATACAACAATGCATATAATACCTAGAACAGCACACAAAAAACACAAGTACCTCCCTTCATGTGCTTACCTGCATTAAACAGAGCTTGTACCCGGTCCTGGTACTCATTTATCTTGCCCTGAATGTTGTCCAGGGTTGAACCGGCCATCTCAGCATAAATGAGGGCTTGGGCTGCTTCCTGCAACACAACAGTTAAGAGTTTTATTACCTGCAATTCTACAAAAAAAAGGAATAATGTGTCTTTACCTTATTTCTGGTGTCTAAATGTTTTTATTTTTTCTTTAATAAATAAAGAAAGAACAAGTCAGTCTAAAGAAAAGATGACGCGTGTAAGAGCAAAAAAACCTTGGCCTACATGTCCCAAAAAATTCATGCTCCATAGCTTTCCCCTTCAGATGCCTCTGCCACTAAAGCTGGCCATACACTGGTAGATTCTTGTATGAACAGTCATACAATAAATATCACCAGAACATTCAATTTTGCCATCAAAAACTCAATGGTTGTCGCTTGAAATTTTCTTTAGTTTTATCATTCTATTCTGGAAACCAATGGAGTTTTCCAATTTTGTTCATTCGAGAAAAACCTGCATTGCCCGCTAGGGCACAGGATGCTTTTAACAATGCACTCTCTCTATATCTTGGGTGGGCAACTCCTGCCTTTCAGCTGTTGTGGTACTACAAGTCCCATGAGGCATTCCAAGACTGACAGCCGCGCACCACCAAGCCTCAGTACAAGTGAATAAACTAAACGTGAGATTGTAGTCCATCCCAGGAGTGAGCTTGGAGTGGTGGCTACTTTACAACACACACAGGGACCATAGGGAACAGAAGTAGCCACCCTCCAGAAGCAAGGACAGTGTCAGCACCAACTTTATTACATTTACACAAAAGATAAAAGCAACAAAGCGCCACCTCCTTGTGTGAAATAGTTTTTATTTGAATAATAATAACGGTTATAAATACTCACAATTATAAAATTTCAGTCAGGCTTGTCAATAAGAGAGCACAAAAGATCAGTGTCTAAGGAATGTCCCGCTCCGACTGCGTATAAAAAGCTGCCTCCGGTCACATCACTATACCATCGTGCCACCGGCTGCTTTTAGGCTGGATTTACGTGTTTCAGGGGCATAGCCCCTGCCTCAGAATCACCATGGTGATTCTGGGGCAGGGGTATGCCCCAGAAACGCGGAACATTCCTTAGACACTGATCTTGTGGCCTCTTATTGACAACTTAAGCGTGACTGAAATTTTATAACTGTGAGTATTTATAATCGTTATTATTATTCAAATTAAAAAAATATTTCATACAAGGAGGTGGCGCTTTGTTGCTTTTGTCTTTTATGTATCTGATGGGAACTCCAGAGTCTCTGACAAGCAGCCTCTCCAAAAGCTGTGGATATTTTACAAGAAAGACTACTCCTGGAGGATTGTAGCGCCAAGAGTTAAAATCGACTTTTATTACATTTACATTTGTATTTTAATGATGTAATTATGCTCGACATGTGTCTTTATATTACCTTCCCTTAATCAACTAAAAGCCCAAAAGGTCAGAGTTGAAGAAAGAGAGTGTTATCAATATGAGCCAGAGCTATAATGCTCTACTGCACTACATAGTGCTGCTACCCTAACATGTTTCACCCACAGTGAAGTGCAGTAGGGTATACCCGGGTAGATTTTCAAACAAACGTTTGTATTCTAAATCCTGTCGGACCGTTCGATAAAGCCATCAGAGACTAGGCGGCTGTCGTTCCAAATTTCATTCCTTTTCATTTAACAATTGATTTTACAATGAATGGAGTTGCCCCGACAAAAACCACGTCCGCTGCGAGAATGTCATTGACCAAGAAAAAATGTCCAACATGCTCCTTCGAATTTTTTTAGCACTGCGGTCGAAATCAATCATCAACGTCACAAATCACATTAACGATTAGATAGTCTAACTAATGTTCTGAAATCGATTTTGTACGAAATTCTAACCGTGTATACCCTACTTAAGGAGGATTTGTTTTCTAAAGCCGGCCAAACACCTTAAGCTGGGCTGAACGTGAGAAATACGCATGGATGGAGTAATGTCCCTTGCTGGCTATTGGGGAACAGACACCAGCCGCTGTCAGAATACCTGAACAATGACTGCAGCTGATTGGTCGCTTAGAAGTCCTGATAAGATTCGGTAGCTATAATGGCATCATGGCTGCTCTTTACAAGCAGAGGGTAAATACTGTTCACCATGAAATTCCTACATCCTCAGGAGGAGTCACTCCTTCTGTGTAAATAGGATGGAGCAAAATGTGATAGCTGAGGGAATGATCAGAAAACTATTGGGTTTGTCTTTTTTACTTCCAATACATGGAATCTGTGGGCTGGTAAGGTTCACAGTCCACTTCCAAGTTCAATAAACCTAGCCATTGAATCAGATGACAATGAGATCATCAACATGGGAATGTTAGCATACAGATATTCATTAAAGCAACTTGTGATGGTAATAGATAATAACCAGACTGGAATGTATGCGTGACAACAGTCTACAGTGACAATTAAATGACATGAAAAGATTAGCAGTGCGTGTGCTGAAGTCATTCTTCCTTCACCAAGAATCTTCTAATGTCACAATAGCAAGAAAAAAAACATACCAAAGAGTCAAAATGAATAGAAAGTTTCCAGCAATGTGTATGAACTAAAGATTTCCTTTTTTTTCATAGTTTTGGGTGGCATAAGACAAAGCTTGATTCCCATAACAGGTGACCATGGTGGAGAATCAACCTCGGATTTCTGCTGTGAAAGCCAGGATTCTGCTAGGAGATGAACATCTAGGTTACTTTTTCTATAGCTACCTATAGAGAGTCCCCTGAGGGGTCACCAAAGCACCACCCATAGTGTGTTCTTCAAAGGAATATGTGGAGAATACACACCACAGAGGAGGACAAGGACATTTAGCTCACTAGAGCCCTATAAGTTATGCTGGAACTACACGAGGATAGAGATCTCTCTGGGTCCAAGGACAGCAATAATCATCCAGTGATCTTCACTATTGTTCTCAAAGCAAAAGCCCCAAAGAAAGATGGAGTTCAGCGTTAATAAAAGAAAGCCTATGCATACATGTAAGAACCTTTTAACAGTCACTGACAGCCTCTTCCGTGGCATAACTCAATAGCCTGTCTGTGGGAACCCAACGGTCTGTTCCACCCCACAGCAGACAATAAGGTCCAACTGTCATTCTCCAGCAAAAGGGTTAAATGTGTACTGCAATTTTTTTTTTTTAAGTATTTGATGAAATACAATGTGACAAGGAGCAGGAATGTAAACTCCCTCAAAAGAAAACCCTGCCAGTACTGAGGCAAACAAAGGAATACTTTCTGAAGGGGAACTTTGGCTATGAAAAAGATTTGAGTAGGAAGGTTTCTTTTCATTGCAGAGACATACAAAGAAGGGGATTTATCAAAATTGGAGCAGACTAAATCCGAAAAAGTTGCCCATGGCTTCCATCTTTCATTTTCAAAGCTTAACTGAACAAACTGCAGAAAGAAGCTGACTGGTTGCCATGGGCAACTGTTCTATTTTCTCTCTGCTCCAGTTTGAAAAACTCCGCCATGTCTCTTCTGCAAAAAAATAAAAAAAAGCTTAGTTTCCTCCCTGTTCACGGGTTTCTTTAGCATGTATATTATGCATACTAAGCTTTGCATTCCCAGATCAGTGTACATTTTTGGAAGGACTTGTTGCTCGGAAGAGATAACTTCCGCACACACATGGCAGAGTTACATTTTCCCAGGCTGGCCAATCAAGATGGAAGACTGTACCAGAGTGTGGAAGGGTAAGAACCTCTAATGGGTTTTTGTCACTCTAAGCCAAGAACTCCGGGCAAATAGAAAATGTATCCTTGCAGTGGGGCTACCCCGCAACTGCAAGGGTTAAGTGCTTGCTTTGGTTTAGGGGCCTGGAGTATCCAGAATTACTTACCTGGTCCTGGCTTCCTCTGAGCTGCTAGACAGGGCCCCCGTAGCCTCTTCTCTCCTGGACTCCAGAGAGCTAAGGACCGCTGAGCATCATCATTCCTTATTCAGGTCTATTGACTTGCATAAGATGTAAGCCAAGAGATATTATACAGCCAGAGCGGAGGGGGAGAGAGATGAGAACTGCTCGCCGCTGGAGTCAGGATCTGGTAAGTAAAACAGCTTTATTCCAGCCCCTAGACCAAAATGAGCATTCAACCCTTGCAGTGCCCACTGAAAGGGTATGTTTTCTTAACCTACCAGGAGTTATTCTTTGCTACATAGCAACTTTTTTACCCATCGTAGGATTTTGTAATTGTTTTCAGACAGTTTTGTGCTTAATGAACTCCGGCCACACACTAAGGCCAAGCCATCAACCCTGATTATAGCATAGTCTGGTCAAGGAAACACCACTTTGCTGACTGCACAATGAAGGAGCAGCAGCACACTGATGAGATCATCTTTCTGCTTACTCTGTTCTCTTGTCATGTCAGCCTGTTCACAATCAGCACATCTGCTTGACTGGCTTTTGGCCTTTACCCTCCTTTTTCTAGCCTGAGTGTTGCTGTATAGGGGCTAACAAGAAGATTCTATGAAGATACTGTGAATTTAGGAACTTATAGTAGATACATTTATATTTTAGGAATACAAAACTGCATTCATTTTTTTTTTAAATATCTGATTAGAGCTCCGCTTGGAAAGAAAAGTGAACAACAGTTAGATGAAGGTTGTGAAACTGGCCAGTAACTGTTGGATCTGTTGGATGGTAAAGAAGAACATATCTGCCGATATCTCAGGGCAAAACGCCTGTCAGTGAACATCTGTGGCAAAGGCTGTGCAAAACTGATAAAAAGCCGAACAACACAAGATTCCTATGATGTCATTTTAAAAATACGCAAAGCAAATGTCAAGTTGTGCAATAGGATGCCTGTCTATGAATCATACATAAAAGATGTATTTGCACACATCAGAAGATATGACAAAACAGACAGCTCAAGTGTAGAAAGGAAAAAAAAAAAAGAAGCTTTTTCCTGTTCTGATATATTTAAATGTAAAAAAAACCCCCAAAAAACCTTTTCAATACACAAAAGCCATTATCATTATCTTAAAGAAGAACTCAAAGCAAAACATTTATTAACCCTTGCAATGGGGCTATCCCCGCACTGCAAGGGTTAACTGCTAATTTTTGTCTA